TGGGGTGATGATACTGCAGAAACATAAGATATTGTGGCTGCTGGGTGGGTTGGGGTGGGGTGGGTGGGTTGACTCCATTCTCTTTCTAAAGGTAAAAGTAGCTATGGAAAAAAAGCCCCTCCCTCTTGGACAGAGGTGTATTTACAGAAAATAATCAGTTTTAAATTGAATGATATCTTAGCTGGGGATGGGCATGGGTGGCAAATAGAGACCGCTCATGGGTACCCAGGGTACCGGCCTTACCTGCCAAACCTCCCCCTCTGCGTCTGTGCTGCTGGCACCCACAGCTCTCTCTCAGAGCCTGCCTGGGGCCTGGGCCGCTCTTGGAGCGAGTTCCGTCTGACAGACTGGAAAGTGAGGCTCAGGGAGGGGGTACAGCCACCAGGACTTGATAGAGGTCGACCTCGAACCCAGGTTTCCTGGCCAACTAGTGTCCACTGCAGCTGGCTAGAGGGAGAGCAGGCCCAGGGAAGAGTCCAGGCAGTGCCCAGTGCTGAAGTGGAGAGACGCATGTGGCCACCTCCTCCTCCAGCTCCCTCTTTTCCTTCCACGTGCTCGTTGATGGCGACGTTGCTGGTGTCGGGGGATATCAGTCATTTCCGGCCCATAGTGATCCTGCGCACTACAGAAGGAAACGGGGCCCAGTCCTGCGCCGTCCTCACAGTGGCTCCTGAGCCCATTGTTGCAGCCACGGTGCCAGTCCGTCTCTTGGGGGGGCTTTCTCTCTTTCACTGCCCCTCTACTTTACCAAACATGCTGTCCTTCTCCAGGGACTGGTCTCCCCTGATGGCACATTCCGAGTTTGTGAGATGAAGCCTCGCCATCGTTGCTTCTAAGGCACACTCTGGCCATCCTTCTCCCAAGACACATCGGTTTGTCCTTTTGGCGGGCCCTGGTGCCTTCTCCAGCACCACAAGCCCAATGCGTCGACTCTCCTGCAGTCTTCTTTAGTCAATGTCCAACTTCACACGCACACGAAGCAATGAAAATACTACAGGGGGGGTCAGGCACACCGTAGTCTCAAAGTAACATCCTGGTGTTTCAACACTTTGTTTATTTTCAAACATTTTATTGGGGACTCTTACAGCTGTTGTAACAATCCATACGTCAATTGTATCAGGCACATTTGTACATATGTTGCCATCATTATTTTCTAGATATTTATTTTCTATTGACTCTTTGGTGTCAGCTCCTCTTCCCTCCCCGCCCACCCCAACCTTGTGGCCCCTTGATAAATGATTATTGTTTTCATATCTTACGCTGACCGCTGTCTCCCTTCCCCCCACAGTTTCTGTTGTTCACGGCCCCCTGGGGGGTGTGGTGTGTGGTTATATATTGATCATGGCGATCGGTTCCTCCTCCCTCCCTTTCCAGAGGTCCTGTGCAGCAGATTTTACCTAATGCAGCTTGTCCTTTGATCTCCTGACTGCTGCTTCCAGGAGCTTTGATTGTAGATCCAAGCAAGACAGCGCCCTTGACAATCTCAACCTTTACTCCATTGTACCTATGGAATCAATTGTGAGGATTTTAGTCTTGTCTGCACTGAGTTGTAACCCATAGTGAAGGCTGCAATCCTTGATCTTCATCAGCAGTGCTTCAAGTCCTCCTCACTTCCAGCAAGCAAGTTTGTGTCATCTGCATATCGTGGATAGTTAATAAGCCTTCCTCCAATCCTGATGATACATTCTTCTTCATGGGAGAGAGCTTCTCTGGTTATTTGTTCAGCATACAGATTGAATAAGCATGGTGAGAAGGTAGAATCCTGTCACACAACTTTCATTATTTTAAACCATGCAGTTTAAACCATTGCCTCTTGATCTGGTGGTTACGAATTGAGTTGTGACCCTCAAAGTCAGCAGTTCAAAGCCACCAGCCGCTCCATGGGAGATGACAAGGCTCTCTGCGCCTGTGAAGAGTGGCAGTCTGGGAAACTCACAGGGGCAGTTCTTCCTGTCCTCTAGGGTCACTACGATGGCAGTGCATGTTTGGTTATGTGCTATGTAGGGCCCCCGGTGGCACAGTGGGTTATGGATTGGGCTGCTAACCCCAAGGTCAGCAGTTCGAGGTCACCAGCCATTCCTCACTGTAGGAGAAGACGAGACTTTCTACTCCCGTAAAGGTTTACAGTCTGGGGAGCCCACAGGCAGTTCTGCTCTGTTCGCGGGTTGGTATGATCAGGATGGACTTGATGGCAGTGGGTTTGAGTTTGATGTGCTAAGGTGGGGACCTCTGGGGATACAGTGCTCAGCACTCTGCTTCCGGAAACCCCGTGAGGCCGTTCTACCCTGTACTAGCGTTGCTGTGAGCCGGAATCTCCTCAGGAGTGAGGGGCTTAGTTCAGTGTTGAGGATTTATTGTGAACAAGGGCCTGGCTTTCGGGGAGATGAAATCACGGGAGAGCCACTCAGAGCCCTGAGAATAGTTCTGAGAGTCTCCAGGAGCAGTCAGTAAGTGCTTCTCTCTGGAGGTGGGCTTCTCTCAGGCAGATAAGCCTCCCCCCATCACCCAGGAGGGAAACTCGCCCCGTCCCGGAAGCTGCCACAGACCCGTTGGGCAGATGAGGAAAAAGCTCAGCGAGGTGACTTGGCTGTGACCTGGCCATGGAGCCCAAGGATGGGGCATACGAAAGCAAAGCCCTATCACCTGTCCCTCCCCCTGCAGCTCCTGCCAGCTGGTGCCCATGCCAACCACCAGGTTGCAGAGGGCGCACAGAAGCAACCTGGGCACTTGCATATCGCGTGGCTTCCTTGCTTTCAGGCTCTATGGGACTATCCTAGGGTTTGATGGGGAGTGTGAGCGTGTGGCCTGCATGTCCCCAGCAGTGCCCACAGGTGTGGCCTTCCTGACACCATGAACGATGGACTGATGCTCCTGGAGCTTGAGGTTTCTCATCTAGAAAATGCGGGAGAATTAGAATGCTTACTTTGGAGCATGGTCTTTGAGTTAGTTAGCTTATTGTGCCAACCTGGCCGATAAACACATGTGGGCTTAATTGAAGGGCAGAGGGATAAATGGCTCAGTGAGCCTCGCCTTTCTAGTTCTCAGGTCGCTTGCTTTGTGATGGTCGCACCAGGGTGCAGCTGCCTTAGCAGTTCCCTGCTTCAACTGGCAAGGCTCACTTCCTGCAAAGACATCCCCAAGGAGAAGCCGCATGGACCTACCCCGATGCAGCCCTGGGTGCTGGAGCAGCCGTGTGGAGACCCCTGCTAGTGCTGAGATGCTTACACGTTCACTGACTCCGCTTTCCTCCTGCAGTCGGCATCATTGCGTCTGTTTTGTGAGATGGAGGAGGACTTTGTGGATTGGTGTTAGACATATATGGGTTCATGTTGGACTTGTGGGCTTGGGCAGCCCTGGGTTGGGATATTTTCTTGATTCGCACTTAACCGTTATATAAAACTCTCTCTTATACATGAGTTGATGTGGATTTGTCTCTCCAAAGTACCCAGACTACCACAGTCTTGATGAGTAAAAGGACACTTGGAAAGCTTGCCGGCCTGCCTGGTGCCGGGTGCATGGGAGAGGAGTCAGCCCGCTTGAAGTCCCAGATCCACCAGGCTCCATACAGGGGAAGAAGACTGATCGGAGCTCTGCTCCACCATACCTGTTCCTCCGCCCCAGCTCCGCTTCCAGTCCTCGGGCAGCAAATCCTTTCCCTCATCCTCTGGGTGCGCAGTTGAGGGTAGAAAGAAGGTCAGGTGATGGAGGGGGCATTCAAACAAGGAGTTGAGGGATGACTAGGGGTTCTCCTAGACCTGGCCAGGCACAGGATGAGAAATCTGCAAAGGTCTAGGATTGGGCAGGGACTAGGTGTGGTGAGCAGCCTTGGAGCTGGCGTGGGAAACGGGAGGTGGGAGGTGGCCTCTTGTGGCTGGACTAGCTCAACCTGACCTCCTTTATACTTGTCTGCTGGCCCTTCCTTCTTTAGCTCAGGTCTCCCCTAGATCCTTAGGGGTAGGAGACTGTTACCTCCTCTCAGAGAGGTGGGATCTTGTCCTGAAGGCACTTTTGATGGGGAGGACTTCAGGTTGTGACTAGTGTGGGTGAAGGGGTGTGGGGAACGCCCCTTTGGTGGCTTCTGCAGCCCAGACCCCCCCCCACCCCACACACACAATGGGCTGCCTTCTCCCTCGGTTGGGGGTTGGGATCTCTCCGCTTTGTTCCTCTCCTCTCTTCTACTCCATCTGTCTCTCCCCTTTCTTGCTCTCTGTCCCCCTTGAGTCTATGTCCGCTGTCAGCTGTCTTCCTTCCAGCTACGTGCCCACTCCATCTCAGTCAGGGTCCTTCCTTCTCACACATCTGGATGTTCTTCTATCTGGGTGCTCTCAGGGGCTCAGTTGCCCCCTCTGTGAGACCCTCGACCTCGCTTCTCCCCTGCTCTCCGTTCCTCCCCTGTCAAGGGCGGGAGGGGTGAGGGCTAGAAGGTACCGAGTCGGACCAGGCGGAGGAGAAGGGCCTGG